GGGGGGGGGGTTGGTTGTGTTTACAGTGTTTTCACGATCCGGTTATGTAACCGAACCGCGGGTCCTCTTCATCCGAATATCCCTTCTTTTCAGGTGGATTCGAACTGGGGACCTTTGGGTATCCGGATGAAGAGGACCCGCAGTTCGGTTACATAACCGGATCGTGAAAACACTGTAAACACAACCAACCCCCCCCCCCGAGTGAGCCCGATCAGCCGGATAACGCGAGAAGGCAATATTAAGTCCGGAATACTATCCGGTTAAAATTCTAATAAGCCTCCATTGACAATGCAGGAACAACTGGGGGGCCACGAGTACGTGCGGCAGCCCCATCGAAAGCGTATCATGCACCCCATAGCCAACGACGACATCGCTCTGGATGGTTTTCTTGACGACTACCACTTTGACGCATTGCTAGCGGGCGACAGCTTTCCCGCTCCCTCTTCCTCTTCATGTGACCGTGTTGTCACAAGGGCCACTGCAACCAGGCAAACCCGAAGTGTCCCTCCGAGTTCTCAGGAATCGGTCCATGCCGGACTAATGTCCGACGCTCGCAAGGCATCCCCAAACCCACCATCCAATAGTCAAATCGAGCGCTTGTTCAACTCGCTTGTCACCCGAAGACCGACGCCCACGCAGCCAAAGCCAGCCCCAAGTCATCCTTGCGACACGGCACATGTGATTTGGACGCCCCCCACCCCCTTACGGACCTCGCGAGGTGCTTCAACGATAGAAAATCTGACCAGCGTCAAGCGATCTCAAGTGGCACCGAATGCCACCGCCCCTACACCAGCCAGAACGCATCGCAATGCTGTATTGCAGGCCACGCCGCTGCGATTGGTAAAGACTGTTTCATCGAGAGCAAAATTCGAAGGAAGTACCTCGAATAGGATGCGTACCTCCAATCCACGACCCAAGGTGAAGTCCCACCGGTCCGAAGTGATTACGCCCCATTCGCCACGCCCCATACCCATTCGAAACCCAAAGGCCGAAAGACTACCCAGACTGGCCCTCGCTCGTCCCCCCAGCCGATCCACACTACACCACATTCCTCAGCCGCTAAGCCGGCGCGAAATGACCCTCCACGCAGTCGTATTTTGGGTCATATGACTCCGTACGCCACTTTGACCGGCCCACATTTGTCCCCCAGCGTCCACCGTCACCAAGCCGACCACAAACCCTCTCCCAAACACTGATCATGAGAGTCATCGAGAAGACCCCCCTCGCCCAGCTGAAGATGCAGCAGACGTGGAAATCATTGACCTTTGTGATAGCGACAACTCCGAAATGAGAAACTAAAAGTGAAGTTGAGTTCTTTGAGTACTTAATAGAGCTTAGGAGCAGTAGGTATCATCATGATCAGTGATGCAGGTATATTGTAATTAACCTATTTGAATTACAATATAACTCATCACTTGGTCGTACATTGATGTACTGATCAATGACAGGATGTCTGACTTGATGTACTCTCACAAATTATATAACTGATACAATCAGTTGTTATGATACTACCTGGTTCTTCACTGGTGTTCCTGACAATTTACCTAGTACGCGAAATTATAGCTGAGTCTCGCCTTGCTTTCGGCGATATTGCGTTGCCGTGTGCTCATGAAACTAGGCCAAGCATCTAAACGATGAAAGTAGGTACACCCCCAAAGTATCACGTCGATACCTGACCTGCAGGCCGAGTGCTGTCCAAGTTCTCCTCTGACTGTCACCCCACTGATGGCGTCGATATAAACGCAATTTTTAGGTAAATAGTTTGAGCACTGTAAAACTCAAACATTATCTTTGATAAGTTGATTTGATGCAACGTTGGGGCGAAAAAATGCCTGCAA